TTTAAGACGGTACTCGTCAACATTTAAATTAACCTAAAACGGCACCTGATTTTTAATCGAAATATTTGTAAGTACACATTTTTGTAGGAAAGAAAGCCCTACGTTTGTAATTTGTTTATTTTAATTATTTTTTCATTTGTTTTTTTTTAAATAGGTGAACTGTTTCTTTAAGACGGTACTCGTCAACATTTAAATGAACTTAAAATGCCACCTGATTTTGAATCGAAATATTTGTAAGTACACATTTTTGTGGCAAAGAAAGCCCTACGTTTGTAATTTGTTTATTTTAGTTGTTTTTTTTAATAGGTGAACTGTTTGTTTAAGACAGTACTTCTTCAATATTTAAATGAACTTAAAACGCCACCTGATTTTTAATCGAAATATTTGTAAGTACTCATTTTTGTAGGAAAGAAAGCCCTACATGTGTAATTTTTATATTTTAGTCATTTAAAAAAAAAATTAAATAGGTGAACTGTTTCTTTAAGACGGTAGCAGATTGTGATATGCTAATGATCAGCATGGGCCCTCGGGGGTCGGTGCACACGCAGCTGATAAACAGAGAGGGGGTTGTCAGGTCCGCTGGGGTTCACAGATGCTGTTCCTGCGCTAACACACTATTCAACTCGCAGTTCTCATTGTTTCCCCCATTTCAGACGACAACGACAAATCCAAAGACTGTGATCAGCGCGAAAACACACCGAAGAAATGCACAGTACTAACATGTGTACGTAAATGTATGAATCACAGACTAAATTTGGCACCATGTTATTTATAACAACAGCAGCAGCTTCCCTGTAGAGCGTCATCAGATTGCTGTTACCATAATGCATCATCCAAAACGGTTTCAATCAGTGTGTGTTTGATCAAATGTATGATTTATAAAATCGAGACTCTGGCTCACCTGCTGTTAAAGACGAATATTCTGCGAGGTCTTACTCCACGCTAGCGTGAACTGTCATGGTCTTAGCGCTGTTTAGTGTTTCTCGAGCATCATGCTGGAGCTGCTCCTGTCTCCATTTTCCTGCTGATGCTGTGTGGTGTTGTTGGCATGTCACTGAGTCACATGACGCGGCTCGTCCCTGAGAGAGCTGCACCTGCTCCCGATTCGCTGACTCTCTTTTCCTTTATTATCTGTAATAGCCTTCAAACTCTCTTTCTTTCTGTCTAAAGTATTTCACACTTCAAGCTTTTAGGCTATAGGCTTTTTTAAATCTAGTTTCCTTATAAAAACACTTAAATGCATCTTCAGCAGAATTCAAATTTCATGCATCCCACAAAGGCCATAAATGTGCTTTATGTTTATGTAATACAAAAATGCAACAATACAGGTGAAAATAGTGTAACTATGGTGCAAAAGTTAATTTATTTCAGTAATTCAACTTAAAAGGTGAAACTAATATATTATATAGACTCATTACATGCAAAATGAGATATTTCAAGCCTTTGTTTGTTATAATTATAACAAACAAAGGCTTGAAATATTTAACTTTGTATGTAATGAGTCTATATAATATATTAGTTTCACCTTTTAAGTTGAATTATTCTAATTTTTCCAGTTTCACCTGTATGTATTGTGTATAGTTCACCCAAAATAAAAATTACTGTGTGAGAAAAAAAAAAAAAATCAAGATTTCAGAGTTTTAGTGTCAGTACAAAATTAAACTACTCTATATAATGTTGATTATAATGTATAATAATGCAACAGGGGGAATATTTGTGTCCTGATAATGCCTTATTGTTTTATGTTACCAGGAAAAAGTGCTGCATTCAGTGAAAGTGTGCAAGCATATTCATCTAAACGATTTCTGTAATTTCATCTTCATAATTATGCACTGTAAAAATGAATATGCTTTATCTAATCAATAAAATTGTGGCAACAGATTACAAGCAATATTATTTATTAAATTGAACAAATTAGAATTGAGTAATAGTTAATCAAATTAACATTCTAATTAATTCTAATTTGTAAAATTTAATTAATAATATTGCTTGTAATATGTTGCCACAATTTTATTGATTAGATAAAGCATATTATTTTTTTCAGTGTGAATATTGTTATTCTGGTGTCCGGTTTGCAGCATCAAATCCAATCCTATTCATTCACGCACACGATGTTATATCAAATTTAGTATTTTAATCTACAGTCCATTTTTGGGAAAGCGTTTATCATGTTTTTTGGAGTATCTGGATAATATCGTATCGTGAGTTCAGTATCGTGATATGTATCGAATCGTGAGGGTCTCGTTACACCGTGTTCTGTAGTGGCAACCTATGGATTTTCACAAAAAGAAAAGATGCACATACCCGGGAAAATCATCGTCCAGCCACTCGTCTCTGGCCTCGATCGTGTCCATCAGCCGGCCGAAGTCAGCGCTGCCCATGCTGAAGAAAACACTCAATTATCTTCATGCGTTTTATCTAAACACGATTATTTTTCATATAGGGAAATATTTTCAGGTCGCAGGCCGATCATACGGGTGTCATGTGACACTGGCTTCATCAACTGCAACCCAAGAGTCAATCCACACCACAGGAAAGTTAGTGTGCTGCGGATTAATGGAAAATCATTTAAATCCCTCTTTTAATCCCTAGTCTTCACTTTGATGTGGAGATAAATCCCTTTTGTTCACCTTTGAATCGTCGGAGGGGTGTTTTTTTTTTTTTTTTGTCTGAACATTTGTCTGAAGAATTTATATTCAAACTGGGTTATTATAGTTAACTACAACAAACATTTTACTAAAACCATTTTTTTCCCAAAAATTGTTACTTCAAATAAAATAAACGTTAACTCAAATAAACTAGTTGTTAATACAACTTTTCTCAATTACATATCTGAAAATAAAAGAAAAAAAATGAACCGCACTTCTACAGCATTTATTAATCGTAGTTAATGTTATTAATCGTAGTTAATGTTAATTTCAACATTTAATGAAATTATTAAAAATCAAAAGTTGTGTTAAATTGTGTTCGTTAAGTAAGCAATAAGGTGCAAGAGGCTTTGAGTAACGGCTTAAGGGCGTTGTTAGGCTCGACGCGAAGCGGAGTAACCCCTTCAGCCGTTACTTATTCACGATACAGCACTTGCCTCGAGTACCTTATTGCTTTTATTAAACCGTTACCACACAATTAAAATATTAAAGTAAAAAAAAATGTATTACTGCAACTTTCATGAAGTAAAATCACTAAAAACCTTCCTTCCGCTAGAACAAAAATCGTCCCTGACCGTGAATTGCGCAGTGAATCACAGAACCGTGGTGAAGCGGTCATAGCCGTGTTTTATCATGAATAAGCTATTGACCAATCAGAATCAAGGACTGGAAGTATTATTATTATTAACAACGATTTAATTTATGACACCTTATTGTAAACAGTTACCACAAAAATCAATACAACTTTTCAAATTTTTTGTAAATGTTTTTTTTTAAAGCAACAACAGCTAAAAATGACAAAAAAAATACTACAAATAAAAATATCTAAAAAAAAAAAAAAACAGGCCTATTCATAAAAACTGTAATAGAAAGTAAATTATAAATTGTAACTTGAAACTTTATGGTAATCGCTTGAAAGCACTAATGCACTATTTTGCAATAAATGCATCCCATTCAAAGTATATTAACAGGTCAAATCTTTGATAGATTAAAATAATAACGTTACATTAAGCCACTGTTACTCACACAGATCAGGATCTTCCCGGTGAACTGCTGATCTTCATCCAGAGAGCAGAACGCAGGTGTTGGTCCAGAAGAAACACAAGAGTCCTCTGTTCACTCTGTGAGCACTACACACTCTCCAGCTCACACACACACACACACACACACACACTTTAACACTGATTCAACCCATGTAGTTTCTAGAAGCTGCGGTTTCAGTGAAGAAATGACCAGTGAGGATCTTCAGGAATATCAGCAATGCTTCGTCATATTCCTACTTGTCCTGAATGCTGGATCTCCGGATAAATAGAGCATCTGTTGCTGAGGCACTTCCACATCCTCGAAACACCACAGCCTTTCAAACCAGCCTGACACCTCTGAACCCACAGGTGGCGCTGATGTAGCCTACAAGACATCTGCTTTAGGATGAGCGAGACGATTACATTATTTACTAATAAAAATACATAATATCTGTAATCAAAATCTGCAGATTTAGTTGTTTATCTTTTAAAATATTATATTATTATATTGCAATAATTTATATATATATATATGCATGTATATTATTTATATTAATTTATTTTTTACATAATATTGAAACTTTCTTTTGTAAAATATTGCAATTTCTTTGTGTTGTAAATTTGGTTATTTGCAAATATTTGCCTGGTGTTAGTCTTTTTTGATATAGACATTAATCTTGCATGTTGTGCATTTTATTAATAATTTCAATAATATTGAAAATTTCTAAGGTAAAATATTGTAATTTTTAAATAAAGTTTAGTAAATTTGGTTATTCACACGCATCTGGGTAAACTGGAAAATGATGAGGTGACTGAGATGGGGTTTTTTTTAGTCAAATGAAAGCCTGAGAGACCATCATGGTTGTTTATCGAGCATTTGAATGGTTGAACATCATTTCACAAAAACATATGAAGAGTTCAGATGCAAAAGCCAAGTGCCATTTGAAATTTCACTTAAATGGCAATGAAGATTACCTATTAAATGTCATTTAAGTGAAATTACTGAACTTAAATATACAAGCTTGATAAAAATGGTCATTTTAGAAGAAAATTTCAAATGGCATTTAGAGGCTTTTGCATCTGAACTCTTCATATAGCCTACACAAAATGTGAAATTTGTTTCTGCATTCTCAATTTATAAAATCCTAACCTCACCATTTCAGAACACCACAGTAACCAATTGATAGATATTGACATAGATTAACTTGCTATAATTATATTTATTAATAATATAAACGATAAATTCGTCGTGGCATCGTGACGGTTTTATTTTTAGGCGCCGCGGGGGGCAGTGGCGCGAATGTGACAGGCGACGTCACAGACACGTGACTGATCACGTGACCCCCCCGGAGCCGCCGTTGCTCTGCTGCTGCTGCTGAAGTTTCTATGATGGCGGCCAGTAATTATTATGGATTCACACATGCAGCCGCTGCTGCCGCCGGCCCGCAGTACAGGTACAAGATAAACACATGTGTATGATCACATCGCTTATTTACAGCAGGCACAGAGACACAAAACCTGTGTGTTGAGGACGGCCAGGGATCAAATCTCCATGAGCTGCTGTTGTTCGTGTTTTTATTGATGCTTGCATGATTTTTAATATCGTGAAAGTGTGTTTGCGGGATATAGGCGAGTGCTAGTACAAGCACGATGGTGCTGTCATGCTTATTGACAGTTACTACCTTCCAGAATATCATGGTACTGCATGGAAATACCATGGTAAACATATAGTTGTCATTTTAACGTTTTACTCCTATAAGCACTGTAAATGCTACGCGAAAGTACAATGTTTAAAATTAAAGTACCTCTAGTCTACTCTTTTTTTGTACTCTCGTTGTATTTGGGGCCATGCACTATAAAAGTTTGGAATAATTCAGATTTTACAAATATTTTTGAAAGATGTTTGTTATGCTCACCGAGGCTGCATTTATTTGATTAAAAATACAGTAACAGTAATGCTGTGAAATATCATTACAATTTAAAATAGCTGCTACATGTTTACTATTTCAAAATATTAAAGCTAGGGTAAGCAATATTTGTTTTCATTAAATCTTTTTGTTATTTTGGTTGAAACTCCTGATAGCAATCAATAATAGAACTGGTCTCTCTCTCTCTCTCTCTCTCTCTCTCTCTCTCTCTCTCTCTCTCTCTCTCTCTCTCTCTCTCTCTCTCTCTCTCTCTCTCTCTCTATATATATATATATATATTATACATATCTTCTGTGGAATTCTGCAAGATAATTAGGCCAAACTTTCTACTTATTTTGTTATATTGCACATTATTGAAATGTAAAACTTAACTTTAGTGCAACTATGGCTCGGGATCATTTAATCATCTCATAATAAGAGATCTGATTTGCTGCTCAATTATTATTGCTTTTCACGTGTTGGTCAAAAATGGCCGATTTTTTTTTTATTTCCAATGAGATTAATGCACTATATTGTAGTTCCTAGTTCTATATTAATGTTTTAAATTAAACATTTTGTATTTTTAAGGGGATTTACGGTACTGAATTAGATTAACACTGTATTTATAATCTATTTATTAAATTTTTAGCATAGTCCTGAAAATTTAATTTCCAACTTAAACTGTTGTAAATCTTGAATGCTTTAGAGTGCAAACTTAAGTTTGATCTCTTTTCATAGACGACACTTGGCAGATTAAGTGAAAAGTTTTGAAAAGTTACACAATTACGTTTATTGTTATGAAAAATGTGAGAAAATCAAAGCCATAAATATAAACAAGTTGTGTTCCAAATTTGACGCTGATATCTACAAAAATGAGCTTTCAGTAAGAGTTCGTTTGGCTGCAGTACCAAAAGTTTCCACTAGATTAAATTTGTCACCCATTCATTTCCAATGCGCTCATTTTTCATCATGAGGAGCACAAGTGTGACTGAATTGTCCATGATTTTTTTTGTTTGTTCACAAAGCAAGTGCCAATTCCTTAACCAAGTTTCGTACAATTGCGATGATGTAAAAAAAATGTTGTTGTTTTAAAAATTTTCAGTCAAAAATGACTGAAGAGCGCCAGAGTGTTTAAATATGATTATTTTTATTATCAATGCTGAAAATGTTTTTTGCTGTTTTTGTTTTAGAAATGATGAAATGAGCATAAGTGACTTCTTACTTAAAAAAAATGCAATTGTTCCAAACTGACAGTGACTATATTGATTTTAAATCCCAAAATTTCCATCCAGCGCCCAGCCGCCTCCAGCATATTCCCACCCAACCACGGGCAGCTATAGCGTCCAGCCCGCCCCTGGAGTGGCCCACGCGGTGACGGCCTCGTACCCTGTGCCCACTGCCCAACCGGCCCGTCCCGCAGTGACCGCCCCCTACCCCACCTACCAGCCTCATCCCACCCCCAACTACGGCTACCGGCCGCCCGAAACGACCCCGCAGCCCACGACCACCCCTCAAACATACCAGGTGTTGACTGAACCGGTCAGTGTTTTCTTGACTACTCTTATGTTAAAGGGATAGTTCATCCAAAAAAGAAAATTTGCCTATTATTTACTCGCCCTAAAGCCATCCTTGGTGTATATGACACTTTTATGATGGACAGATGCACTTTTATGATGATAGATGTACTTTTATGATGATAGATGCACTTTTATGATGATAGATGTACTTTTATGATGGACAGATGCACTTTTATGATGGACAGATGCACTTTTATGATGGACAGATGCACTTTTATGATGGACAGATGCACTTTTATGATGGATAGATGCACTTTTATGATGGATAGATACACTTTTATGATGGATAGATGCACTTTTATGATGGATAGATGCACTTTTATGATGGATAGATGCACTTTTATGATGGATTAATGCACTTTTATGATGGACAGATGCACTTTTATGATGGACAGATGCACTTTTATGATGGACAGATGCACTTTTATGATGGATAGATGCAGTTTTATGATGGACAGATGCACTTTTATGATGGACAGATGCACTTTTATGATGGATAGATGCACTTTTATGATGGACAGATGCACTTTTATGATGGACAGATGCACTTTTATGATGGATAGATGCACTTTTATGATGGATAGATGCACTTTTATGATGGACAGATGTACTTTTATCATGGATAGATGCACTTTTATGATGGACAGATGCACTTTTATGATGGATAGATGCACTTTTATGATAATAGATGCACTTTTATGATGGATAGATGCACTTTTATGATGGAAAGATGCACTTTTATGATGGACAGATGCACTTTTATGATGGACAGATGCACTTTTATGATGGACAGATGCACTTTTATCATGGATAGATGCACTTTTATGATGGACAGATGCACTTTTATGATGGATAGATGCACTTTTATGATAATAGATGCACTTTTATGATGGATAGATGCACTTTTATGATGGAAAGATGCACTTTTATGATGGATAGATGTACTTTTATGGACTTCAAAACAGAAACGGCCATTCACTGCCATTATAAAGCTTGGAAGAGACTATATTTTTTTAATATAACTCTGATTGTATTCGTCTGAAAGAAGAATGTCATATACACCTAGGATGGCTTTAGGGTGAGTAAATCATGGGCTAATTTTAATTTTTGGGTAAACTATCCCTTTAGTGACGTTACCCCAGTTGTCTACATTAGTAGTTTTTCTTGTCCACTCATGTATGAATTGATCTTCCAGGAGAATTATACTTACGGCCGCCCGCCGGCGGTCAGCAGCTTCGAGAACAAGCAGTATTTCCAGACGAGCATCACTCCTGCGCAGAGACCCGCGACAGAGGCCTACTTCCAGACAGGTGAACCTCAGCTCTCTCTGCGTGCTCACCGGATTTAGTAAGGTTACAGTCATGTGTCCTTAAAGCTGCAGTCCGCAAGTTTTTCGGGTTAAAAATGATCAAAAACAAATTTGAGCAAGTATGGAGGTTTAGCTTTTGCCTGACGCGGACATGTTGAGCTTTGGCACTCATGCGGGTGATGCAGGTTCGAGTCTGGTCTGCAACATTTCTATTCACAAAAACGCTCTGCTTTTCTGTATGATGTGAATTTGAAGATTAATCGCACGATCTGTTTTGAATTACAGATGGCAAAATTGTACTTTTTCTTTTTTACGTCACTGATTGGTTGAACTGATGCATATCAAGCTATTTCAGGCCAATCAAAACTTGTCACTATTCAGAACAATATCAACATTTGAAGTGGATCAAAAGTTTCTGATCAAGTTTTGTTCTGTCAAATGTCGACTACTGTAGTTTTTGGTTTGGTTTTAATGGTTTAGGTGTAACTGTTGTGTTTCGTCAGGGCTGAAGAGTGGCTACACCCCCGTGAGCACAGTGTACAGTCAGCCGGTCCTGAGACAGGTCTCGGCTCTGAAACCGCCCCCCGCCGCCAGCGCCGTGTCCTCCAGCTACACCATCTACCCCACGTCCACCAGCGTCCAGCAAACTCCAGCCCCCATCTCCACTTACACACACAGCTCTTCCTTCAACTCCACCGCAGCCACGTCCTACTCCGGTACGCCTGCGTCACATTCACACTCGTCGAAAATTGAATACTTGATGTATATTATACTCTTAAAGTGACGGCGCTAATATTCCACGTCTAACTCTCCTTCAGCCGGCCTCAGTTACTCCAGCTACGAGTCTAGCGGTTACACGTCCGCGCCGTCGTACTTCCAGCCGAGTCCATGTCCTCCTCAGGCTCCTCTTCAGCAGGCTCCGCCTCCACCGCCACAGCCTCCCAAACAGCTCGCCAACTCGTCCTGGAGCGGCGGCCCCGCGTACAAGAAGCCCGTCTTCCACCAGAACAAGATCCAGAAGCCCAAAGGCCCGCCGAAACAGCCTCAGCTGCACTACTGCGACATCTGCAAGATCAGCTGCGCCGGGCCACAGGTCAGCGCTCGCCCACAACTGCTTTAGCAAACCCGGCAATCGCCTCATTCTCATTTTAATGGTTTATTTTAATTTGCTAATTGATCTTACATTCTGATTTACATTTTTACTGTTATTTTTTATACCATTTAAAAAAAATAAACATTTATTTAGGGCCCAATGAAATCAGTTAAATTTTTTTTTTCCCAAATTCCCAAATTATCTTATTTTTTTCTGGATTCTATTTTAATGGTAACTGCTTTAGCAAACCTCTGAAATCTTCTCATTCTCATTTTAATTTTGTAATTAATTGTGAAACTTAATCCTTTTAAAAACAACTTACAGGTACATTCTGTTTTACATTTTTACTGTTATTTTTTTTAACCATTTAAAAACAAAACCTATTTTTAGGGCCCAATGAAATCCATTAATTTTTTTTTTTTTTTGGATTGTTTTTTAATGATATAATTTAAATTTTCAAAAAGCACGTCTAATTAATTGCAGTTGTGATATTCCATTTAAAAACAAAACGTATATTTTTATTTTTATATTCAGGTTTTCTTTTCAAAGTCTTTTTTTTCTGTTCTCATTCTATTTTAATGGTTTATTTTAATTTGCTAATTGATCTTACATTCTGATTTACATTTTTACTGTTATTTTTTTATACCATTTAAAAAAAATAAACATTTATTTAGGGCCCAATGAAATCAGTTTAATTTTTTTTCCCAAATTCCCAAATTATCTTATTTTTTTCTGGATTCTATTTTAATGGTAACTGCTTTAGCAAACCTCTGAAATCTTCTCATTCTCATTTTAATTTTGTAATTAATTGTGAAACTTATTCCATTTAAAAACAACTTACAGGTACATTCTGTTTTTCATTTTTACTGTTATTTTTTTTAACCATTTAAAAACAAAACCTATTTTTAGGGCCCAATGAAATCCATTAAATTTTTTTCTTTTTAGATTGTTTTTTAATGATATTATTTAAATTTTCAAAAAGCACGTCTAATTAATTGCAGTTGTGATATTCCATTTAAAAACAAAACGTATATTTTTATTTTTATATTCAGGTTTTCTTTTCAAAGTCTTTTTTTTCTGTTCTCATTCTATTTTAATGGTTTATTTTAATTTGCTAATTGATCTTACATTCTGATTTACATTTTTACTGTTATTTTTTTATACCATTTAAAAAAAATAAACATTTATTTAGGGCCCAATGAAATCAGTTTAATTTTTTTTCCCAAATTCCCAAATTATCTTATTTTTTTCTGGATTCTATTTTAATGGTAACTGCTTTAGCAAACCTCTGAAATCTTCTCATTCTCATTTTAATTTTGTAATTAATTGTGAAACTTATTCCATTTAAAAACAACTTACAGGTACATTCTGTTTTTCATTTTTACTGTTATTTTTTTTAACCATTTAAAAACAAAACCTATTTTTAGGGCCCAATGAAATCCATTAAATTTTTTTCTTTTTAGATTGTTTTTTAATGATATTATTTAAATTTTCAAAAAGCACGTCTAATTAATTGCAGTTGTGATATTCCATTTAAAAACAAAACGTATATTTTTATTTTTATATTCAGGTTTTCTTTTCAAAGTCTTTTTTTCTGTTCTCATTCTATTTTAATGGTTTATTTTAATTTGCTAATTGATCTTACATTCTGATTTACATTTTTACTGTTATTTTTTTATACCATTTAAAAAAAATAAACATTTATTTAGGGCCCAATGAAATCAGTTTAATTTTTTTTCCCAAATTCCCAAATTATCTTATTTTTTTCTGGATTCTATTTTAATGGTAACTGCTTTAGCAAACCTCTGAAATCTTCTCATTCTCATTTTAATTTTGTAATTAATTGTGAAACTTATTCCATTTAAAAACAACTTACAGGTACATTCTGTTTTTCATTTTTACTGTTATTTTTTTTAACCATTTAAAAACAAAACCTATTTTTAGGGCCCAATGAAATCCATTAAATTTTTTTCTTTTTAGATTGTTTTTTAATGATATTATTTAAATTTTCAAAAAGCACGTCTAATTAATTGCAGTTGTGATATTCCATTTAAAAACAAAACGTATATTTTTATTTTTATATTCAGGTTTTCTTTTCAAAGTCTTTTTTTTCTGTTCTCATTCTATTTTAATGGTTTATTTTAATTTGCTAATTGATCTTACATTCTGATTTACATTTTTACTGTTATTTTTTTATACCATTTAAAAAAAATAAACATTTATTTAGGGCCCAATGAAATCAGTTTAATTTTTTTTCCCAAATTCCCAAATTATCTTATTTTTTTCTGGATTCTATTTTAATGGTAACTGCTTTAGCAAACCTCTGAAATCTTCTCATTCTCATTTTAATTTTGTAATTAATTGTGAAACTTATTCCATTTAAAAACAACTTACAGGTACATTTTTACTGTTATTTTTTTTAACCATTTAAAAACAAAACATATTTTTAGGGCCCAATGAAATCCATAAAAATTTTTTCTTTTTGGATTGTTTTTTAATGATATTATTTAAATTTTCAAAAAGCACGTCTAATTAATTGCAGTTGTGATATTCCATTTAAAAACAAAACGTATATTTTTAAGGCCCAATGAAATCTGTTTTTATTTTTATATTCAGGTTTTCTTTTCAAATTCTTTTTTTTCTGTTCTCATTCTATTTTAATGGTTTATTTTAATTTTCTAATTAAATGTGAAACTTATTCCATTTAAAAATAACTTACTTTCTGTTTTACATTTTTACTGTTATTTTTTTTTAAAACATTTGAAATCCGTTTAATTTTTTCCCAAATTCATGTTTTATCTTTCCGAAATTCTTTTATTTTTTTCTGAATTCTATGTTAATGCTATAATTTAAATTGTGATGTACCATTTTAAAATCAAAACGTATATTTTTACGGCCTAATTTTTTATTCAGGTTTTTTTTTTTGTGTTCTCATTCTATTTTAATTTTCAAAAAGCATATCTAATAAATTGCAATCGTGAAGCTTATACCATTTATTAAAAACAAAATGTATATTTTTAGGGCCCCACGAAATCCGTTTTATGTTTTTTCCTCCTTTTTTTCCAGGTTTATGGTTCTTTTAAATAGATAAAATAGAAATATTAATTTTAATTTCAACAAACATGTCTAATTAATTTCAATTCTAAAACTTATACAGTTTAAAAACAAAACGTATATTTTTTAGGGCCCCATATTTGAATGGTTTATTTAAATTTTCATTTTGTTTTCTCTCCCAAATTCAAAATTTTCCAAATTCCTTTACATTTTTATCTGCTTTCCATTTTAATGGTTAAATACCATTTTGTAAATAGAAAAGCATGTCTAATTAATTAATTGTTATTAAACTAAATGTTAAATTAATACATGGAAGTACATTTTTGTATTACAGTAAGTTATATCTATTGTGATGTTTTTCTGTCACAATTTTGAGTTAAACCAAACTGTTGTTTTGGCGGGTTGCCTTGCAGAGCTTTGAGTTTCAGTGTATTTTCAGATGATACTTTTTCTGAAATGAAATGGTGAAGTGACTATTTATATTTGAATAACAATATTATTCACAGACGCTACTCCGTATCACCTTCTGATTCCAAAAGTTCCGCGACATTCCGTGTTATTCTGTGAATTCCATTTTTGTGTGTAGATTCCATGATTGCGTCACTGAAGGTTAACTTGTTTCCTCCTTCCTCTCCTGCAGACGTATCGAGAGCATCTGGAAGGACAGAAGCACAAGAAGAAGGAGGCGTCTCAGAGCAGTGTCAGTCAGGTGACCAACGGGCCTCGCGGCGTGCAGACGCAGTTGCGCTGTGAGTTGTGTGACGTCTCCTGCACCGGCGCCGATGCGTATGCCGCACACATTCGGGGATCCAAGCACCAGAAGGTGAGGCCAATATTAGCAAAAGATGAAATAATAGTCTTGGAGAAATATTTTTATTTTTATGGAACGGTTTTTATTGAAGCTTTAGACTTTTAGAGTTTTTTAGAGTTTTTTAAAATAAGTCAACTTAACTCTTCTGCGCACCAAAACTGCATTTATTTGATTAAAAAACAGTAATATATATTTAAAATAACTGTTTTCAATTTTAATATATGTTAAAATGTAATTTATTCCTGTATTTTCAGCATCATTACTACAGTGTTCAGTGTCACATGATCCTTCAGAAATCACTCTAATATATAAAACATAAATTATTATTGTCAGTGTTGAAAACAGTTGTGTAAAAAAAACAAATTCAGGATTCTTTAATGAATAGAAAGTTCAAAAGAACAGCGTTTGTTTGAAATATAATCTTTTGTAACATTATAAATGTCTTTACTGTCACTTTTGATCAATTTAATTCATTCTTGATAAATAAAAGTATTGATTTCTTATGATTTATTTCCCCCCCAAACAATAAAACGTTCTTACTGACAAACTTTTGACTGGTAGTGTATGTATAAAAAAAACATACAGTAAGTAAAAAATATAAAATTATGATTGTTTTTAATGTAAATCAATCTTTTTAACAGTCATAAATCATAAATATCAGTCATCTCTCAATAATATCTCTTAGATGAGATTTAAAATCTTAGTTTTTTGATCAAAGCTTTGTAGTTTTAAAATGTAAAATGCAATGATGATTGAGATCACAGATGTTACTAAAATATAATGGATAGATAATCTATTAATCCCAACTTCCTTCAGTGCAGTAAGTGTTCATCTGGAAATATTACTAACAATGTAAAAGATATTCTTATCAATAAAGATTTCACAGCAAAAACACGCATGAAGCACGAGCTGAAGTTGGACGTTTGTACAATAATTTCAAAAGGCCATTTAGTTATTAATCAGATGATTAATCAAAAGGCATGTAGTAGGAAAGTTTTGATCATGTTGATAACGTAGAGATTTGCGTATCAGATATGATTAACTAATCTGAAATGCAAACCTTTCGTCAGGTCGTGAAGTTACACACCAAACTTGGCAAACCCATCCCTTCCACCGAGCCCGTTTTCGTGAGCTCCACCTCTGTTGCCATGACGACGACTACTAGTAAAGCAGCCGCGACGACGACGACAGCCGCTACAACCCCGGCATCAGTGGCGCAGAAGACGCTAGCGGCGGCTCCGTCCAAACCTGTGAGAAAACCCCCCGCTGCTAAGGTGGCCGTCGTCGGTGAGTGGAGTCTGAGCAGAACGAATTTCTGCCAATCTTTCGTAATACTAACTGTGTTCAAAATAATTCATTTTACGGTTGATTTACAAAGAAATCTATTCACAATCGCAAGAATTAATTTAAGAAATTTATTCGCAATCATGAGAATTATTGTGATTTATGCAGAAATTTATTTCGCAATTGCGAGAGTTAATTTTTTTAAATTTTTATCCTTTATTTAACCAGGTAAAAACTCATTGAGATTAAAAATCTCTTTTACAAGAGAGACCTGAATCTTTTACAAGATTTTAACAATGATTTACGCCAAAATATATTCGCAATCGCAAAAATTATTATAAGTGATTTACTCAGAAATTTATTTTGCAATTGCAAGAATTAATTTTAAGAATGATTTACACCAAAATTTATTTTGCAATTGCAAGAATTCATTTAAGAATGATTTACACCAAAATTTATTTGCAATTGCAAGAATTATTTTAAGAATCATTTACACAGAAATTTATTTGCAATTGCAAGAATTAATTTTAAGAATGATTTACACCAAAATTTATTTTGCAATTGCAAGAATTCATTTAAGAATGATTTACACCAAAATTTATTTGCAATTGCAAGAATTATTTTAAAAATCATTTACACAAATTTATTTGCAATTGCAAGAATTAATTTTAAGAATGATTTATGCCAATTTATTCGCAATCGCAAAAATTATTGTAAGAATGATTTACACCGAAATTTATTTGCAATCGCAAGAATTAATTTAAGAATTATCTATGCCAAAAAGTATTCACAATCGCAAGAATTAATTTAAGAATGATTTACACCGAAATTTATTCACAATCGCAAGAATTAATTTTAAGAATGATTTACACCGAAATTTATTCACAATCGCAAGAATTAATTTAAGAATGATTTACACCGAAATATATTCACAATCGCAAGAATTAATTTTAAGAATGATTTACACCAAAATTTATTCGCAATTGCAAGAATTATTTTAAAAATCATTTACACAGAAATTTATTCACAATTGCAAGAAATAATTTTAAGAATGATTTATGCCGAAATTTATTCTCAATCACAAAAATTAATTTTAAGAATGATTTACACCGAAATTTATTTTGCAATCGCAAGAATTAATTTAAGAATGATTTACACCAAAATTTATTCACAATCGCAAGAATTAATTTTAAGAATGATTTACACCAAAATTTATTCGCAATTGCAAGAATTATTTTAAAAATCATTTACACAGAAATGTATTCACAATTGCAAGAAATAATTTTAAGAATGATTTATGCTAAAATTTATTCTCAATCACAAAAATTAATTTTAAGAATGATTTACACCGAAATTTATTTTGCAATCGCAAGAATTAATTTAAGAATGATTTACACCAAAATTTATTCACAATCACAAAAATTATTGTAAGAATGATTTACACCGAAATTTATTCGCAATCGCAAGAATTAATTTAAGAATGATTCACTCAGAAATGTATCCACAAATGCAAGAATATTTTACAAATTATTTATTGCAAGAATTATTTTTATGAATCATTTACCAGGGATGTGATTTTTCCATATTTAGTGTGATGCAATGATGTCACTTTACTTTAATCTTCAGCAATCTTGATCACACTAATTCCTCTTTAATGCATCACTCGCAAAACCCGCATGAGGAAATAGATGCTTTACATCCGATGCTTTGCAGAAGAAGCGTCTATTTATACAGATTTAGTCATGTTGCCGTAATTCAGTCTTTCAGATTAAGACATGAAATGAACACGTAACGCTTGCTCAATCTTTCTGCTTCTGCTTTATAGAGTTGTGATATTTATTCCACGTAATCTTACTCATCGGGTCATGAGGTAATAGATTCAGAAGTAATCACACAAGAAACTACTCATGTATTTTAATTACGTATTAAATTTCCACATTTTAGCAATGTTCATTCGTACTTTTAACTAAGTAAATAATTGTAATTTTCATGCTAAAGGGTTCATTTTCACGACACTGTTTTTAACTAAAAACTTTGATGCATTTTGGCCATTCATTTACATGACGGTGGTGTTCAAATTTTGAAATTTGATACCGTTATCGTCTCTGTCTAAACTACAAAAGCTCAAATTTGTAAAAACGGTGTCTGGTTAGTAACCTTGTGACATCGCCACCTACTGGCCTGACAGCAGAATACAGCTTTTTTTTTTTAATTTTCGCGTAAACTTAAAGGAAACGCAAAGGAAAAACGTTTATGTTTTTAGTATATAGAGTCTAAGCCCCTCGCCTTCCGGTCGTCCACCATGGGACCTTATTTCGGAAAAATATGTATGGTAATCAATGGCGAGAGACAACAAATATTTTGATCTCGTTTGAATTGTGCCCTGAATTACACACATGATGTTTGTCAATGTAAAACATACATTTTAAAGTCAAGAAAGTCACAGTTTGATGTAAAACTGTTGAGGTATAAGACTGAAAACACGTAATTACAAAGACTACAAACCCCAAAGGAAGCTTTACTGACGCTGAAGCTAACGTCTGTCATTGTTTCTATAGTCCTCCGTTATAATCGTAGCTAATTGTGAAATTTACGAGCAGTTTCTAAGTGTAATTTGGTAAAGAAACTATTTTTTGTCCCCAGTGTATGATCAGCCACGCATAAATGAAGTGAATTAGAAATAAATCTCCCAAAATGCATTTGTCTTCAGGCAGCCGAGCCTCCACAGCGGCTCCGGCGAAGATGGAGGAGGTGAAGCCGGCCGCGGTGAAGACGGACCCTTCGAGTGAGGATGAGGACGGTGACGGAGCCGGAGCTCAAGGAGACATCCAGCCTGTGGGACACGATTACGTAGAAGAGGTGAGAACTCTCAATTATTGCACATATAGTTTTAAAGGACAGTTCATACCCAAAATGAAAACTCCCTCATGTTGTTCAATCCCGTAAGACTTTCGTTCATCTTCAGAACACAATTTAAGATATTTTTTTATTAAATTTGAGAGCTGGATCACTCCTCCATAGGCTACAGTGGCTCAACCTTAAGTTTATCAACTAACAAAAATAACAAATAGAGTCTGAATATGGCGATGGAACAAACAATAGTTCTTGAAAGTCCTGTCATTTAAAATCTGTACGAACAATAAGAGCATTTTAGTCTAGAACAGTCTTGCATTGTTTTGGATCTTCAGTCACGAATAAATGTTAAGGTTTGGTGTTCTAAAAAGGCATTTTCTTTTTGTTTCGGACCAAAAGAACCAAGTGAATCGAACTACAAGTGTGAACACATCCGAATTCGATATATGAGCAAATCAGTCTGGATCAAAAGTGTTTCCTCTAGTAAATGTGTGTGATGCGTAAGGCGAACTGGTCTTTGAATCATGCGTTTTCCCTCCTCAGGTTCGAAACGACGACGGGAAGGTGATTCGCTTCCACTGTAAACTGTGTGAATGCAGTTTCAACGATCCCAACGCTAAAGACATGCACCTGAAAGGACGGAGACACCGGCTGCAGTACAAGGTAACGCATCATCACCCCCAAAAACACCACAATAACGATATTCCTGTCTAGTTTTGTCAAAAATATCGACTTTGGTACCAGGTTAAAAAATATGAATCGTGAAATCCTCTGATTGGCCATTGTGTTCACGAGCTCATCAAATATGTCTGTGATTGGCTACAATGATCAGCGCTTCAGAAACATGTTGTAAATATCAGTTCCTCCAGAAAAACGTGATTCAGTGCATAATCGGCCAAAGTCTGCATATTTATGCTGATACTCTGCACTTTTGAACATAAATCGCAGATTTCCCTGCAAAATATGCGGGGCTTGCATGATTTCATAATCCTTGCATTTTCCTTGCAAAAGTCACATATATCGGAGCAGAAAGTTGAAGTATGTTGCGTTTGTGTCACACGAGAGCCGCCGTTTCCCCCTGTTGCCATGGAAACGTTATGATCAGTTTTTATCCTGTTATGATTTATTTATTTATTTATTTATTTTTTTAGAAAAAAGTGAACCCAGACCTCCCTGTGGAGATCAAGCCCAGCAATCGAGCGCGGAAGCTTCTGGAAGTCAAGTTACGCAAACAGAAGCAGAAGTCTGTGCTGAAGAGACAGCAAGAGGACGAGCAGCGCTGGCACATGGAGATGAGGTCATCCTTTCCCGTTTATCGCACATTTCAGTAGGCCTTTTAATGAAAATAATGCACAAAAATAACAACATGCATTTCAATTATATCAATGACTTCAATCAGAGTCCGAAACATACTGTTGTTTATTTCATCTGTTTTTTTTTTTATCTAAGAATTTATTTTCAGTCTGTGAAAATGGTCCATTATTTTGGTGCAAATACTTTAAATATTTGTGTTTTTTTTTAATATGCATCAAAATAAATCATTTTTATATTTTGGGGAAAAAATGCCTGTAAATTTTCATATAAAGACTACATTTTGCAAATGTAATATTAATATAATTATAAATACAAAATAATAATTTTCTCATATTTTTTGATCATTGAAACATTTATTGATAATTTCAGGAGGCCTTTTCATTTTTTGTTTTTCAATTTTAAGCATGAAAAACATTAAAATACAAAAATATGCATCTCAATTAACTCCGTCAATCAGAGTCTGAAAAATGCTTTTTATTGAAACATTTTTTGGTGAACTAATTTTGGTGCAAAAAAATTGTGAATCTTTGACATTTTCACAACTTTGTATCAAACAGGATTTAAGTCCCTTTGAATAATTAATCTATATAATTTATATTCAGCACAATATGAAAAATACCTAATATATATATAGCTATTATATAGCTTTCTTTGTAAACAAAACAAAATATTAAATAATAAATAAATTTAAATATATATATATATATATATCAATTTTAGGTATGAAAAACACATTCAAATACAAAAAAAATGCATCTCAAATAGGAGTCTGAAACACTTTATTTTTTTGTATTAGATATGCAGCAAACACGATTTAAGTCACTTTGAATAACAATTAATAATTTTTATATTCAAGGCAATCTGAAAATGTGTTTATATCTCCAAACATTTTACATACAATATCTACAATTCAGCAGTCTTTAAATCATTTGTGTATACCGTTTGCAAATATTATACTGTAAATAATATCGACGTAATCATTTAGTTTTGTTGTTGCTTTCACCAGCCTGATTATGTCCTAATTTTGTCGTGTGGTCCAGCAGGAGGTACGAGGAGGACATGTACTGGAGGAGGATGGAGGAGGACCAGTTGTACTGGGGGGATCAGAGGCACAGGATGGCTCCGCCTCCTCTGATGGGCCGGCCCAACATGCCGGTGCCGCCCCTACTGGTCAGTAAATGCATTGACCTTGATCAAGGGCATTCCCAGATAGGACATTTTTCACCAAGACCAAAACTGATGCTAGAAGATTAAGGAGTAGTTCATGTCAGAATGAACATTTCCTGATAATTTACTCTCTTCCACGTCATCCAAGATGTTCATGTCTTTCTTTCTTCAGTCGAAAAGAAATTAAGGTTTTTGAGGAAAACACTCCATAAAGTGACTTCAACAGGTCCAAATGTAAGCTTCAAAGTCTCGACATGATCCAGCCGAGGAATAAGAGTCTGATCTAGACAAACAGTCCGCCATTTTTTACGTAATTGACGTGATTTTACGTAAATTATCAGGAAATTTAAATTCGAACTACTTTTAGGTGTGTACAAGCTTTTATTAAATGGTAAACCGCACCAATTTTTCTTCAGCCCGTGCGGCGGCCAGATTCGCCCGACGACCGGCACATCATGTCCAAACACTCGGCCATATACCCCGTGGAGGAGGAGCTTCAGGCCGTCCAGCGAATCGTCTCGCATGCTGAGCGCGCTCTCAAGCTGGTGTCTGATTCGCTGCTGGAGAAGGAGGCGTGTTCTGCGGACGACGACACCGCCGATGACGTGACGGACAAAAAGTGAGTACTTGTATTGGCTACCTGACTTTTTATACCGTTGAATTGTAGCGGGCGTTTAGATTTAAGGCCCGTTCACACCAAGGACGATAAATATATCGTTCGACAAATCATTCCCAACATTAAAGAAGTTTATAGTTCTCGTTCTTGGTGTGAACGGGCCTTTCCGCTCTTCCTCGCGGGCAGGTCCGAGTCTCAGGCTCGTGTTCTCAAAGGAGTCATGCGTGTGGGAATCCTGGCTAAAGGTCTCCTCCTGCGCGGCGACCGCAACGTGCAGCTCATCCTGCTCGCGGCCAAGAAACCCACCGTCAGTCTTCTGAGAACCGTCGCGGAGCAGCTGCCCAAACAACTAGCGGTAAGACTGTCTTGCGTTAGGATGCATGAAAAATAACGTTTTTTTTTTTTTTTGTCGAAGCTACTGAAAAGCATTATTGATCTGTTTATACTCATATCTTTGCACTTGTGATTTTATCACCTTGTTTCCTTTCTTTCTGGCTGGAAATCACCTACACGAGAAGTCACATGATCACTGGTGTCATGACAGGTCTATTTATAGTGACATGTAGAGTCTGTGGTTGATGTTCAATTTCTTAAAGCTTGGTTGTGAGTCTCACAGACACATTCAGGTCAAATTTCTCAACAGAATCAGAAGGGAATTTCCTTTTTTTAACCGTATAAATATTTAAATGTATGTTTCGCATAAAGCAGTTGAAGTATATTTTTAGTTTTTACTTGACAAGTAAACATTTTCCCTAAAATGTCATTACTGTGATTCCATCCACCTATTTTTGATGCGCATTTTGGGATGTCGCATAAAACAAAACACCGCCAAAATGCGCATAGAAAAAACATGCTTTCAATTTAGGAGGATTTTTTTTTTTATCCGATAATATGACCTGCATCAAACTGCTATGGAAACGCATATACCAAGTAAATCCCTTGATGTGCAACAAAAAAACTTCCGTGACTTTTCCTCAGCAGAGGCTGTGATTGGATAACTGGACTAACCAGTGGACCAATGGCATCGCAGCATCTCAAATGTGTTCACGAACATGGCTTTTATTTCGTCTCGTCTGACACTGAGACTCAAGTCAATTATAATGAAGGAAAAAGAGCCACAGTTTCTTCCCCGATTGCAGCAACTTCCAATTTTATTACAGAAATTTCCCAGAAATTGATGATTTTATTCTCTTGAACACTTGAGATAGAAACTGTGCTTTTATTCGCAAATGATTAATGTGATATTCCCAATTTGGATGGAAACATAGCTATTGATGCAGAGAAAAAAAATCATTACCATAACATACACATCATTTAAAACCAGCATAGATTTGTACAATACTGTCATTAATTAGGCATGAATATGTTTTACAATCAAAATTTTGGTCAAATTACAGTAATGAGATTGTTGTACATTGCGGTAATGACTAATTACGAGGGGAAAATGTGATGCATGATCTTAAAAACACGCTTTATTTACTCGATGCAGGATATAATTTCAAATAATTTTTTTTAATATCACAACTTTGGATGGAAACATAGCTATTGATACAGAGAAAAAAAATCATTACCGTAACTTACACATCATTTAAAACCAGCATAGATTTGTACAATACTGTCATTAATTATGCATGAATATGTTTTACAATCAAAATTTTGGTCACATGACAGTAATGAGATTGTTGTACATTGCGGTAATGACTAATTACGAGGGGAAAATGTGATACATGATCTTAAAAACACGCTTTATTTACTCGCTGCAGGATATAATTTCAAATTAATTATTTTTTTTAATATCACAACTTTGGATGGAAACATAGCTATTGATACAGAGAAAAAAAATCATTACCGTAACTTACACATCATTTAAAACCAGCATAGATTTGTACAATACTGTCATTAATTATGCATGAATATGTTTTACAATCAAAATTTTGGTCACATTACAGTAATGAGATTGTTGTACATTGCGGTAATGACTAATTACGAGGGGAAAATGTGATGCATGATCTTAAAAACACGCTTTATTTACTCGCTGCAGGATATAATTTCAAATTAATTATTTTTTTTAATATCACAACTTTGGATGAAAACATAGCTATTGATACAGAGAAAAAAAATCATTACCGTAACTTACACATCATTTAAACCCAGCATAGATTTGTACAATACTGTCATTAATTATGCATGAATATGTTTTACAATCAAAATTTTGGTCACATGACAGTAATGAGATTGTTGTACATTGCGGTAATGACTAATTACGAGGGGAAAATGTGATACATGATCTTAAAAACACGCTTTATTTACTCGATGCAGGATATAATTTCAAATTATTTTTTTTAATATCACAACTTTGGATGGAAACATAGCTATTGATACAGAGAAAAAAAATCATTACCGTAACTTACACATCATTTAAAACCAGCATAGATTTGTACAATACTGTCATTAATTATGCATGAATATGTTTTACAATCAAAATTTTGGTCACATGACAGTAATGAGATTGTTGTACATTGCGGTAATGACTAATTACGAGGGGAAAATGTGATACATGATCTTAAAAACACGCTTTATTTACTCGATGCAGGATATAATTTCAAATTAATAATTTTTTTTAATATCACAACTTTGGATGGAAACATAGCTATTGATACAGAGAAAAAAATCATTACCATAACTTACACATCATTTAAAACCAGCATCGATTTGTACAATACTGTCATTAATTATGTTTTACAAACTAAATTTTGTTCACATTACAGTAATGAGATTGTTGTATGTTGCGGTAATGACTGATTACGAGCTGAAAATGTGATGCGTGTCATTTAAAATGGGCAAAAAAACCTTAAAAACACCTTTATTTACTCAATGCCGTATATAATTTCATGTTTTTTCCCTTTTGATTTTAGGGATGAAATACGACCTAGACACATTTTGGATCGTTTATCATGTGATCCACTCATATGTTATTAAAAAAATGAGCTTTTTACACTGCTGCTTTTGTGGTCCATGTATCTTTAACTGATCTTTAGTTCACTGCCTGGTTACGACACCTACAGAGAGAGACTGGGGCGTGTACTTACTTTACATCGCCATTTAACCAGTGCATTATGGGAATATATGGCTCCACTGGGACTATAAGGGACAAAATACAGAGCCCATTTACTCAGGCCCCCGCCGTCTCCTCTGTAGTAATGCAAAGTGTCCTTTTAACCGGCAGACCTTTTCTGAAGATCAGTATGAGGTGCAGGTACACCCTGAGGAAGCCAACATCGTCATTTTTTCAAGCAAGGAACCAAAAATGCAGGTCACCATCTCTCTTACCTCGCCAGTGATGCGCGAAGACCCCGTCCCCAACATGGAGAAAGGTTAGAGAACCCGTGCTTTCCCTCAGCAGCACTATATGTGTAAAAAACAAAACAAAAACAAGGATATTTCCATGCAGAAAAATTGTCATCAGTGAATTGGCCTTCCTGTTCATTGTTATTCCCCTTCCCCGCCTTCATTTTCTTTTCTTCTTTTCTTTCGGTGGAGTCCATTATTTGCCCTCGTTCGGTTTTGCGTTGCTTTCTGAAAGTGTTTAAAGGAATCAAAAACAGGATCTCTGACCTTTCTTTACCACTGTGGCGCAATATTGTACAAGTTGTGTTGTAAGACTTCAGGATGAGAACGATTTTTAGCTTTGACCACAAACTTTTCCATGCCAAGTTTTTCATATATATATATATATATATGTGTGTGTGTGTGTGTGTGTGTATATATATATATATATATATATATATATAGATATATATATAATAAAAGTGTTGGTAAACGATTTGTTAGGAGTGACAATCGCATTTATTTTTTGCATGTGTGCAGAAAACAGAAGTCGCTCCTCCATTCCTGCAAAATTGTGATTGTTGCCATTTTCATAAGTTGCGTCATTTTTTTTTTACATTTTAAAACACTTCAAGAATAAAGTTGCTAACATTTTATTGTTACTAACAATTTATATATTAGTTTTATTTTTATTGAATTTATTTTATTTTGAAGTAACTATTATATATATATATATATATATACTACATTATAATATAGAATAAAACTGATTTATACATTTATAAATGTATCTAAATATTTTGTTTAATATGCAGTGGGATCCAAAAGTCTGATAATTTGATAATAATCTTATCAAATTATAAGAATTTGCGTAAATTACCCTACTTTACACTTATTTTTTTTTTTTTTTAAAAAAGCTTTTTTTTCATACAGCGATTCAGTTGTGAAATGCATTTGTCACTCCTGTAAATAAACTCTAATAATGAATTGCAATATTTTGGGACTGACGATGTATTAATAGTTTTTCATAGTGATAACAGCAACATTTTGGAGTTTCATGTCTGTAAATAAGTCTAAATCTAATCTAAAGTTTAACTCGATTGGTATATTTAACCGAACCGACTGAGAACGGTTATATTCTCATCCACCATGGGAAACAATTCGTCCTTTCATCCTGAAGTTTTCGAACGGTGACCTCAAACAACCTCTGAAATTCCGACTTGTAACCTGAGGTCATTGTGTAGACTGTTTTATTTTGCTAACGATATTCTCAGTTCTGCTTCTTTCAAACCACCAAACGGTTCTCTCTATATTTGTCCTGTTTGGGTTTGTTAATCATTCGCCCTCGGCTGCATCAACAGACCCAAGCAAAAATACTTGCCATTTACATCTTTTGCATAACATTGCAACAATTTTTTTAGGAACCTGGACGTGTTGGAAAAACCCTTGTATTGTGACATTTTGGTGTTGTTTGTTTTGATGTGTGTTGTAATGAACACTATCTAGTTTGACAAATCACCTACAAAACTTTTTCTTTTATTTACTTAATAATTTTGTAATTTTATAACCTTTTTATTATGATAGTAAAGCATTAAATACAATTGATGGTGTTCTCTACGTGTGTCCTGGCAGTGTCTGAGAAAGACCCTCCGGATGTCCTCAACAGGATCAAGTGCCTTGAGTATTTAGCGGCTCTGCGACATGCTAAATGGTTTCAGGTAAAAAAAAAAAAAACGTAAAAAAAAAATTTAAATACACTTAATATTTCAATAAATACACTTTGAGTTTGCTACTCTACAAGCTACTCACACTAAACTTAAATTATAAAGTAGTTGCATACAGACGTAACGTAGACTTGTAGCCAAGACCGCCTAAAACGAGACCAAGACACTACCAAGACCAGAGGGTATCGAGACCAAGACCAAGGCCAAAGACCAAGACCAAGTCGAATCTGAGACCAAGACCAAGTCGAGACAAAGACCGAGGCCAAGGACCAAGACCAAGTCGAGACCAAGTCCGAGGCCAAGGACCAAGACCAAGTCGAGACCGAGACCAAGGACAAAGACCAAGTCGAATCTGAGACCAAGACCAAGTCGAGACCAAGACCGAGGCCAAAGACCAAGACCGAGACCAAGTCGAATCTGAGACCAAGACCAAGTCGAGACAAAGACCGAGGCCAAGGACCAAGGCCAAGTCGAGACCAAGACCGAGGCCAAAGACCAAGACAGAGACCAAGTCGAATCTGAGACCAAGACCAAGTCGAGACAAAGACCGAGGCCAAGGACCAAGACCAAGTCGAGACAAAGACCGAGGCCAAGGACCAAGACCAAGTCGAGACCAAGGCCCAGGACCAAGACCGAGGCCAGAGACCAAGACCGAGGCCAAGGGTCAAGACCGAGACCAAGACCAAGTCGAGACCAAGACCGAGGCCCAGGACCAAGACCAAGTCAAGACCAAGGCCAAGGACCAAGACCGAGGCCAAGGACCGAGACCAAGTCGAGACCAAGGCCAAGGACCAAGACCGAGGTCAAGGACCAAGACCAAGTCGAGACCAAGACCAAGGCCCAGGACCAAGACCGAGGCCAGAGACCAAGACCGAGGCCAAGGGTCAAGACCGAGACCAAGACCAAGTCGAGACCAAGACCAAAGCCCAGGACCAAGGCCAAGGACCAAGACCGAGGCCAAGGACCGAGACCAAGACTTAGGTCAAGGACCAAGACCAAGTCGAGACCAAGACCGAGGCCCAGGACCAAGGCCAAGGACCAAGACCGAGGCCAAGGACCGAGACCAAGACTTAGGTCAAGGACCAAGACCAAGTCGAGACCAAGACCAAGGACCAAGACCGAGGCCAAGGACCGAGACCAAGTCAAGACCAAGACCAAGGCCAAGGACCAAGACCAAGTCGAGACCAAGACCAAGGACCAAGACCGAGGCCAAGGACCGAGACCAAGACTTAGGTCAAGGACCAAGACCAAGTCGAGACCAAGACCGAGGCCCAGGACCAAGGCCAAGGACCAAGACCGAGGCCAAGGACCGAGACCAAGACTTAGGTCAAGGACCAAGACCAAGTCGAGACCAAGACCAAGGACCAAGACCGAGGCCAAGGACCGAGACCAAGTCAAGACCAAGACCAAGGCCAAGGACCAAGACCAAGTCGAGACCAAGACCAAGGACCAAGACCGAGGCCAAGGACCGAGACCAAGACTTAGGTCAAGGACCAAGACCAAGTCGAGACCAAGACCCAGGCCAAGGAGCAAGACCAAGTCGAGACTAAGGCCAAGGACCAAGACCGAGGCCAAGGACCGAGACCAAGACTTAGGTCAAGGACCAAGACCAAGTCGAGACCGAGGACAAAGACCAAGTCGAGACCGAGGACAAAGACCAAGTCGAGACCAAGACCAAGTCGAGACCGGAAGAGATTTCGATTTCGAAGTCTCCAAATGAATCCATTCTGCAACTTTTAAATGCATAATTATATTTTAAAAAACTAAATTATAGGCTTAAGTGCAGGACACACACCGTTGGCAGTGCGCTCAAAGTTAAAACTTTCAATGTCAACATGTTTGCTAGCTAGTTACCTGAATAAGTAACCGTTAAGTATTTTTTTAATTGAACTGGTAGCTTACAAGTGTTTGCATACTTAAAGTACGTTTCTGACCTTTGACTCAACCGTTGTTCAGAACAGTGTAATTGTATTAGCAGTTTGGCATTAGCACTTGTGTTTATATTAACAATTGAAATGCCATTTTTAGCTATGTTGCGTTTTAATGATTTTTTATCCACAGGCTCGGGCAAACGGTCTTCAATCTTGCGTCATCATTATTCGTGTTCTGCGGGACCTGTGTCAGCGCGTACCTTCCTGGGGCAAGATGCCCAACTGGGTCAGTTAGCCTTGTTCGCTAACGGTGATTTTAGCTACAGCTAATAATGGTCGTAATAACTAATGTGTTGTTTCTTTCGCAAAGGCTATGGAGCTGCTGGTGGAGAAAGCAATTAGCAGCGCAACCGGTCCGCTAGGCCCTGGAGAGGCTCTGCGGAGGGTCCTCGAGTGCATCACCACTGGGATTCTCCTGCCTGGTAGGAGTTAATATAGGAACATTTATATACTGTTGTAATATTTATAAGAAACATTTCATTATCTTTTATTTTTCTTTTTAATTCTAGTTTAAGTTTTAGTAATTCTGTCTGGCTTTTGGCATTTTTATTAATACATGTTTTCCCCAAAAATTCTATTTATCTTTCTATTTTATTCCAGTTTTAGTAAATTAGTTAAATTGAACTTATTTTATTTCAGTTAGTTACAACATTTCTAATTTCGAAGTCAACATTTCTAATTTTCGCTTAAATTTTCTAAATTTACATTTCGAATTTTTCAAAGTTTAAGTTTTTCATCTAATATTTATTTAATTTAGTTGCCAAGGCAATATTTCTAATTTTCTTTTTTGTTTTCCATCTGATTTTTAATTTAGTTGCCAAGGCAACATTTATCGTTTTTGTTTATGTTTTTCATCTAATATTTCATTTAGTTGCCAAGACAACATTTCAAATTTTTCAAAGTTTAAGTCTTTCATGTAATATTTATTTAATTTAGTTGCCAAGGCAACATTTCTAATTTTTGTTTTAAGTTTTATACGTTTTTCATCTGATATTTATTTCAGTTAGTTGCCAAGGCAACATTTCTCGTTTTTACTTAAGTTTTTCCATCAAAAAATTTACTAAATTTAGTTGCCAAGGCAACATTTCTAATTTTTATTTTTTAGTTTTATGTTTTTCATCTGATATTTATTTCAGTTTGTTGCCAAGGCAAAATTTATACTTTTCGTTTAAGTTTCATGTGTTTAAGTTTTTCATCTAATATTTATTTAATGAAACGTCTCATTTTTTGATTTCAAGTTTTTCAAAGTTTAAATGTCTCATTGAATATTTATTTTGGGCGGTGTTTAAGTTTTCATCTAATATTTATTTCATGGAACGTCTCTCCGACGCTCAGATGGTCCAGGTCTTCAAGACCCCTGTGAGAAAGGTCAAACGGACTCTCTGGGAAGCATGTCAAAACAAGCGAGGGAAGACGTGACCGCGAGCGCACAGGTACTAAACGGGTGTGACTTGCCAACATTTCCCTCCATTTCACTGTAGCTGTTCTGAAAGCGCTGTGTGTTTTTCAGCACGCCCTGCGACTTCTGGCTTTCCGTCAGATCCATAAAGTCCTGGGCATGGGCTCCTTAGCGGCCTCTAAAGCCGCCGCTCGAAACCGCAAGAGGCGGCGAGAGGCCAGCGACCCCGGCGAGGGAGAAACCGACGGAAAGAAGGATAAAAAAGAAGATTCCAATCCTTGAGATGTCTGCGTAATCTTCTATGTCCTCTAAAATGTATAAATATCACTCAACGAGGAAAAAAATAGCACTTGATGGTTCCGTTTTTTTCAAAAGGACGAGAAATGGAAAAAAAACAGTAGTTCCCCTTTTATGATGTATTGCGTCGTTCTATTACATCTGAGCTGCAAATAGGCCGAAATGCTCATGAGGTTCAAACCGACATATAAAATAAACTGAACGTCACGTTAGATCTATTAGGCACTTTCACATATTAATGGCACTTAATTAAAAGCTTTAATTATCTCGACACAGGCCAGTCTTTTTTATGTTTACATCAGATGTATAGTGGGGCCTAAAAGTCTGAGAACACTCTGAGATTTTGGAAATAAACACGTTTTATGATTTAGAATAATGTACAACAATCATTGTAACAAAATAAGAAATATTTCAGATTTCTCCGTAACTAATGATATGGCGGCACGTTAATAACATTGAATATGTAAACGGCTAAACGCAAATTGTTATAATTTGATTTAAAAAATATATTTTTTGGGGAGGGAATGTAAAAGTCTCAGACTTTTGGATCCCACTGCATATAAATCAAAATATTTAGATATATTTATAAATCAGTTTTATTCTATATAATAATATTATGTATTATGTGAATGCAAAGAAATGAGTTGTATCTTTAAAAAAAAAAAAATGACGTTTTTAAAATAGGTAGTTGGTAGTGTTCACTAATAAGCTGTTTAAAGCGACACGAATCGGCTTTGTGTGGTTGTTCATTAACCCGACACTGGATTTATACACGTTTGGGTATCCGATCTGAGGGCAAAAATGCACAAAAATAGACTTGTTACTTATCATTATTTTAATTTGCATACTGAATAATCGCTGATTTCACAGTGAGAAGACAGGGTATCGTACGCGCTAGTTTCGCGAGTCTGTGGTTCTTCACACGTGCCTGCGCTAGAGATTTAAAGTACTTGAAATGTGAACGAGGAGGTGAATTTACGGTTTTTCATATTGCAATATAATATAATGTAATAATACCTCTCTATTCTTAAGTTTTTTATACAAAAAAGTAAAGATGCGCACTAGGAAGATTGCTGTTAGCACATTTAAATTGATTATTGATATCGCCTGGATTATGTTCTGCCACATGTTTTTATGTATAATCGCATTTTTAAATGTTCCTGCTGAGTGTTTGTTCTCGTTTTGTAGGACTGTGAAAAATGATATTGTGATCTTTCTTTTAGAATATCGGTGTAGTGCTGCTTAACTAAATAAACAGAAAAACGATCGGACTAAAGTGAGTGTGTGTGTGTGCTTTGGCTCAAGTTTTTTTTTTTTTGCTTTATATTTTTGCCATCATGTATGGTCATAAATGGGGTGGAAAAACACGTCAGAGCTGCGATGTCAGGAGGAAGTGAGCTCGTGTGTAATAAACCTCTGATAAGTGTGTAACCGCTCACATGGACTAAGACACAAGCAACACGCTCTTCTGTCAGCCGAACCAAGGAAGTGTGGAAACATCATTTAGGTCGGTTTTAATTTCACTGCATTTACAAAGATAGGCTACTATACTACTTGGTTATTATCGTTTATACGTTTTATTTTATGAAATATATTTTGTGCATTTATGCATCTACATTTTAACTACCTTTTGGCTTTTTAAGGTTAAGTGGTCAATTCATTTGAGGTTTTTCTAGACCATTTTAAAAGGCATTTTAGCTTTTTTGCAGTCAAGGGGTTATGTGACATTAATACAAATTGTTGTAATATATATATATATATATATATATGAAGAGTTCAGATGCAAAAGCCTCTAAATGCCATTTGAAATTTTCTTCTTTAATGATGATTTTTATTAAACTTGTATATTTAAGTTCAGTAATTTCACTTAAATAACAATAAATAGGTAATTATCATGCCCATTTAAGTGAAATCACTGAACTTAAATATACAAGCTTGATAAAAATGATCATTCTAGAAGAAAATTTCAAATGGCATTTAGAGGCTTTTGCATCTGAACTCTTCATATATATATATATATATATATATATAAATGTATATGTATGTGTGTATATATATGTATGTGTGTGTATATATATATATATATATATATATATATATGTATATATATTCTACTTATTTAGTTATTGTGTGTATTGAGGGCTTTTAAAATAAATTATTTGGGCGTTTTAGTTTTAAATCACATTTTAGCTTTAATTAAATGTGGTGTGGGACTGTTTTGTGTGTATTTTATGTGATTTATTAACAAAAAAAGTCAAACTTTATTGTTTCAAAGCAGCTTTACAGAGAGTGCGTTTCAGAAATGTACATAGAAATATACAGTTTCATGTATTAACATGTAACATCTCGCTGGGGTTGAGTCAAGTTTTGTGGGCCTATTTTACACCATTTTTAATCACTTAGTTAGCGGTAATGATAAATGTGACCATTTGTATTAAATTTAAGTGCATGGAGTTTTTTGTAAATGAACTTTCTGCATTTCTTTTTTTGTGGCCATGTGGTGTGTGAAGTTATTTTAACATCTTGAAGACGAGCTGCGGATGTTCGCTACTCTATAAACACATGGACATGGTAAGCGAGACGTCTAGTTAAATGTCTGAAACCTCGATGTTCTTCTCACACTCACGTCTTTAACTTCTTTCTAGAAGAAATGGACGGCAGGAACGCAGTGCGTCGCCAAAAAGGAGCACTGCAAACCTAAAGCGGGGGCGATAACGTACCGCAAAGGCGACGTCTTGACGCTCGTGGGGCCTGGAACGGTAACACAAGCAGCTTTCTTTCTAAAAACATTCTCCTATACAAGTTTACATTCACACAAAGAGCGATGCCAATAATAATCATTCTAACTATACAACAATTAGCAGTTATAGCGATGATAACACATTGTCTGAATAACTTCCAGATCGTTTTTTGTCATGATTGATAGAAACGGTCGAGCGGTTAAAGAGCCTGAAAGCAGCAGCAATAGCGCACACTTCCGCTTAAAGCGGTGCTAATGCCCTTGTCACAGGGTGTAAAATGAGTCTCTGATGTCCCCAGAGTGTGTGTGAGATACACAGATATTTTATAGCAAGTTAAAGTTGCCACTTTTTGAGGATGAACAAAAATACACTGTTTTTGTGTGTGTCCCTTTAAATGCAAATGAGCTGCTGCTCCTGGCACAGGGGGCGGGGCTACAACAGCAATATTCATTATTTACATCATGAAGATTTCAAAAACTTTTAGTCTGTCTTGTTCAAACTAGAGTCAGACAATGATTCTGTCATGATAACCTATAAATCGCGTTCCTGGGGGGCGGGGTTTATGTAAATTTTGGGAAGCACTTGTAATTGTTGTAGTCCTTAAAAAACGATTTCTCTTAAAGCAAATATCTTCCTTTTGCTTTGATCTTTGAGTGATGTAACTTTGCAGATGTTGTTTATACTCAAACAGCAACATTACACACTGACTAAAGTTAGAAAAGTCAAATCATAATCAACCACCCCTTTAACAAAACAAACAATGTTTCGTCAGTTGGTGTGGACCTTAACTATACTTAGAAATATATTATATTATATATTCTATAAGGGTAAGTCCACACCACAGCTATAGCGATAATACTTTTGGAGGTGATGCTTATTAAGGATAAAAAACATTTACAGCCAATCAAAATCCACCTAGCATTTAAAGCTACAGGCGCTCGCTTAAAGGAACAGTTCACCCTAAAATGAAAGAAAATATCCATATTATAGTTATTAAATAGATATTTTTCTTATTTATTACCCCACTGGAGTCGTGCTGATTACTTTTGTGATGGATCGACGAGCTTTTTTGGGCTTCAAAAACCAGTGTTGTAGTACTCGAGACTCGGACTCGTCTCAGACTCGGTCTCGAGACCATATTTTAATGGTCTTGGTCTTGTCATGGACTCGGAATTGACTCGTACTCGAACATTTTTTTTTTAGGACTCGGACTTATTCCCGAGTCCACTCGAGTTCAATTCAAAATATTTTTCATGATTATTAATGTATGTTAATAAAATATTTTTTTTAAATTGATTGACCCCCCCAGTGATTGGCGATTTTCTAGTGCGCAACTGCGCATGACAAATTGTAATAAAATTACTTTTAACACCACCGCCTTTTTACCCTAAACTGATCATATTTTTTAAACTCTAAGTAAATTCAGAAAAAAAAAGGATTTCTCTAAGTAAATAAAAGTAAATTAGGTAATCAACCCTCACTGGTCTCGGTCTCGACTCGGACTCGACCGTCTCTGGTCTCGGACTCGACTCTCTATGGACTCGGTCTTGACTCGGACTCGACTCTCTCTGGTCTCGGTGTCGACTCGGACTCGAGTGAGGTGGTCTCGACTACAACACTGTCAAAAACTCTATTCACTCCCATTATAAAGCTGGGAAGAGCCAGGGTATTTTTAACATAACTCTATGGACTATATGGGTGAACTATTCCTTTAATAATCAGAATGATATTAACCACTGGTGTGAACAGTAATGCTCGTGTGAACAGACGTTTTTTTTTTATTAAAATATTTTTTCAGAGAAAAGGAGAATACCGAGCCAGACACAACACGACGGGAGAGGAAGGGCTGGTATCGGGTTCAAACCTCAGGGAACGAGAAGCGCTCCGTATCGACCCGAAACTGAGCCTCATGCCGTAAGTGTCCAGCCTCTGAGTTACGAGGAACGCGCTGTTGTTGTTGTTCCACTACACACGGGAAGGATGTGGTTGGTGTGGTTGGGCTGAAAATAAGCCGACGACCTCTCTGATGCTCCTCAGATGGTTTCACGGTAAGATCTCCGGACTGCAGGCCGTGGGCAAACTCAAGCCGGCGGAGGACGGGCTGTTCCTGGTGCGCGAGTCGGTCCGGCACCCCGGAGACTTCGTGCTGTGTGTGTGCTGCAACCAGAAGGTGTTTCACTACCGCGTCATCTTCCAGAGCAACAGACTGTCCATCGACAACAAGGAGTTCTTCTACAACCTCATCGACATGATCGAGGTGCGTCAGAGGCGATGCTATCTCGGGCTGCTGGTGTCTGTGGTTTAAAGGGGAAGCAGCAACTCTAAAACTAGCTTGTGCTCATAGTCGAAATACTTTTGGGTGTTTTTAAAGTGGCTGTGTGGTGGTTTATTATTGTACGTTTCAACACTTTTTTTGTTCCCTTTTAACATTTTTTTTGCTGGCAAAACGTCATAGGCTACGTCAGAGTTGCAACATATTATAATTGTATTTATGTATTGATTATTTGTGATTTTCAAAGTGGCTGTAGGCGGTGAGATTATTATTGTTTTCACCATTTTTAATCACCTTTTGTGGTGCAACAAATTATTACAGTGAGTCAACATTTGAAGTGGGTAAAAAAGGTTCATCATAGGTGTGCTAAGTCGAGATGGGGTATTGTTGGGGTAAAAGACTTTTTTTCCCCTCAGAATAATTTATAATCTCACAATTCTGACTTTACAACACGCAATTGTGTCTATATAACACGCAATTCTGACTATATAACACGAATTTGTGAATATATATCACGCAATTCTGACTATCAATCAATTCTGACTTTATATCTCGCAATTCTGACATTTTAAATCGATTAATTCTGACCAGAGCCGATAACGGCTCTGATTCTGACTTTATATCTCTCAATTGCAACTTTATATCACACAATTCTGACATTACAACACACAATTCAGACATATCTCGCAACTCTTGACTTTATAACACGCAATTGCGACTTTAAATCACACATTTGCGACTATATATCACGCAATTCTGACTTTATATCACACAATTCGGACTTTACAACACGCAATTGCGACTTTATATCATGCAATTCTGACTTTACAACACGCAATTGCAACTATATATCATGCAATTCTGACTTTATATCACGCAATTCTGACATTACAACATACAATTCAGACATATCTCACAACTCTGACTTTATAACACGCAATTGCGACTTTATATCACGCAATTTTGACTTTAAATCACTCAATTGTGACTATATCACGCAATTCTGACTTTATATCTCGCAACTCTGACTTTATAAAACGCAATTGCGACTTTATATCACACAATTCAGACATTACAACACGCAATTGCGACTGTATATCACGCAATTCGGACTTTACATCACGCAATTGCGACTTTATATCACACAATTCTGACTTTATATCACACAATTCGGACATTACAACATGCAATTGCGACTGTATATCACACAATTCTGACTTTATAACACATTTGCGACTATATATCACGCAATTCGGACTTTACATCACGCAATTGCGACTTTATATCACACAATTCTGACTTTATATCACACAATTCGGACATTACAACATGCAATTGCGACTGTATATCACACAATTCTGACTTTATACCTCACAATTCTGACTTTATACCTCGCAATTCTGACTTTATATCTCACAATTCGGACTTTATACCTCACAATTCTGACTTTATACCTCACAATTCTGACTTTATACCTCGCAATTCAGACTTTACATCACGCAATTGCGACTATATATCACGCAATTCGGACTTTACATCACACTATTGCGACTATATATCATGCAATTATCACTTTATATCTCGCAATTCTGACTTTACAACACGCAATTGCGACTATATATCATGCAATTCAGACTTTACAACGCGCAATTGCGACTATATATCATGCAATTATCACTTTATATCTCGCAATTCTGACTTTACAACACGCAATTGCGACTATATATCTCGCAATTCTGACTTTACAACACACATTTGCGATTATATGTCACGCAATTCGGACTTTACATCACGCAATTGCGACTATATATCATGCAATTATCACTTTATATCTCGCAATTCTGACTTTACAACACGCAATTGCGACTATATATCACGTAATTCAGACTTTACAACACGCAATTGCGACTATATATCATGCAATTATCACTTTATATCTCGCAATTCTGACTTTTACAACACGCAATTGCGACTATATATCTCGCAATTCTAACTTTACAACACACATTTGCGATTATATATCATGCAATTATCACTTTATATCTCGCAATTCTGACTTTACAACACGCAATTGCGACTATATATCATGCAATTCAGACTTTACAACGCGCAATTGCGACTATATATCATGCAATTATCACTTTATATCTCGCAATTCTGACTTTACAACACGCAATTGCGACTATATATCTCGCAATTCTGACTTTACAACACACATTTGCGATTATATGTCACGCAATTCGGACTTTACATCACGCAATTGCGACTATATATCATGCAATTATCACTTTATATCTCGCAATTCTGACTTTACAACACGCAATTGCGACTATATATCACGTAATTCAGACTTTACAACACGCAATTGCGACTATATATCATGCAATTATCACTTTATATCTCGCAATTCTGACTTTTACAACACGCAATTGCGACTATATATCTCGCAATTCTGACTTTACAACACACATTTGCGATTATATATCATGCAATTATCACTTTATATCTCGCAATTCTGACTTTACAACACGCAATTGCGACTATATATCTCGCAATTCTGACTTTACAACACACATTTGCGATTATATATCACGCAATTCGGACTTTACATCACGCAATTGCGACTATATATCATGCAATTATCCCTTTATATCTCGCAATTCTGACTTTACAACACACATTTGCGATTATATATCACGCAATTCGGACTTTACATCACGCAATTGCGACTATATATCATGCAATTATCACTTTATATCTCGCAATTCTGACTTTACAACACACATTTGCGATTATATATCACGCAATTCTGACTTTACAACACGCAATTGCGACTATATATCACGCAATTCAGACTACAACACGCAATTGCGACTATATATCATGCAATTATCACTTTATATCTCGCAATTCTGACTTTACAACACGCAATTGCGACTATATATCTCGCAATTCTGACTTTACAACACACATTTGCGATTATATATCACGCAATTCGGACTTTACATCACGCAATTGCGACTATATATCACACAATTCTGACTTTATAACACATTTGCGACTATATATCACGCAATTCGGACTTTACATCACACTATTGCGACTATATATCATGCAATTATCACTTTATATCTCGCAATTCTGACTTTACAACACACATTTGCGATTATATATCACGCAATTCGGACTTTACATCACGCAATTGCGACTATATATCACGCAATTCTGACTTTATATTCACTCAATTCTGACAATTCTTTGTCGTTGCAGTTCTACAGCAGAAGTCAAGGCGCTCTCGCTACGGTTCTGCTGAAGCACAAGAAGAAGGAAGGCACGAAATCTGCCGAGACCAAGCTGTTGAAATGTAAGTGTTAATGCAAAAGAGCCCCAGAAATCCTCTGAGACTGAGCTCCAGCAGTGTAACCTGTGTGTTCCTCAGCCGGCTGGCTCCTGGATCTGTCCAAGCTGACGGTGGGAGAGCTCCTGGGACAGGGAGAGTTCGGCGGTGAGCACTTCTGCTGTAATCTACTGTATGGGTGTTGTAGTTGTGTTCTCTCAGAGAGCCACTAGAGGGCAGCACGTGATCTGAACTGATATTAAAGGGACAGTTATTTAATAATTTACACAAACTATTCATCAGAAGCATCACCTCTGCTGATACACACATACACACATCACCTCTGCGTGAGGATGTGTGTATAGGTGTTGTGCTGTAGTGTGTGACGGGACTCTGCTGTTGTGTCCAGCCGTGTTCGAGGGAGAGTACGCCGGCCAGAGAGTCGCCGTGAAGAACATCAAATGTGACGTCACGGCTCAGGCTTTCCTCGAGGAGACGTCGGTTATGACGTAAGAGTGTGTGTGTGTTTATTTGTGTGTGTGTGTGTCATGCTAGCATTCACTAATATAACATCCTCTTGTGCAGGAATCTCCATCATAAGAATCTGGTGCAGTTATTAGGGGTGATTCTCCACAACGGCCTTCACATCGTCACCGAGTTAATGACCAAGGTACCGCTGTCAGAGGAGTGTGTGTGTTCTGATGAGTGTGTGTGTGTTCTGATGAGTGTGTGTGTTCTCGTCGCAGGGGAATCTGGTGAATTTCCTGCGCTCGCGAGGACGTTTCGCGGTCAGTGTGTGTCAGCTGCTGCGCTTCGCACTGTAAGCGTCACACAACTACACTAACTTATGATGTAACAAGCTGTAAAATTAACATTCACATCGTCTTAATAAAGTAAATCAATCATTTAAATGTAGAAATAGAATTAGTATTTCACTCGAAACAAGAAGAAATTACATTAAAATCAAGATTATATATATTTTTGCTCTACAATTAATTTAAAAAAAAATGTTTCCTCTGTTCTCATCTCCAAAATGCAAACATTATTTAACAGTGCGTTATTTTGAATTTAATAAGAATAATTTCAAAAAGTCAAAAAAAATGCCCAGACACACAGGATTATTTATTTGTTTATTTTTATTATTTTGTATTACGGTAATGATAATTTTATTTTAAAAGAATGTATAGCCTTTGTTCTTAAAAAAAAAAAAGGTGTGCTATTTTTGGTATTATGTTTGTAAGAATTATTTTATTTTTATTTATTTAACCCTTGTGCTGCATTAGATTTTTAACACCAAAATGGCCACATATTAAACATTGCCTAAAATATTATATATTATTATTATTTTCCACTTTTACCAAGTTAAATCTTTTAACCAGCATCAGTCCTCATCATAACTACCAAAAATGTATTCAATTTCAGGATTTTAACCCTTTAATTACCAGTTTTGTTTGCGAAACCATCGATTTGTATAAGAGGAAAAAACACAAAAATTCAATTATTTTCAATAAACTAAATGCAAAGAGAAAACTTTAGATTTGGATTATCACAGTCCCACTTTGCAAAAAATTTGAGACCAAAAATGGCCACCTATTAAACATCGCCTATTGCCTAAAATAAGGTGCATTTCCACCCATAGGGAATAAATATGTAGTGACGTCATCTGGTGGAATACACTATATAATGCAAATATAATGCTTTTGCTTCAAAATGAAAGGATGTTTGTGCAAAAATCATGTTTCATGTATTACTGACAGCCTCAGATTTAAACAACGTTTTAATGGGTTTCAATGGGCCATTTTTGGTCTTTATGGTGCTGAGTGTTACTATTTGATCTACACAGTGTGTGTTATACATATTTTGCAAAATGGGATCACATTTTTTACATGTATCCAAAAAGTCACAATTTTGCCAAATTTCATACCATTTGCATTAAAACAGCCAAAATGGTCAAAGAAATTAAACTGCAAAAGACCAAAAATGTCCCTAATGCAGCATAAGGGTTAAAGTAAAATTTTATTTATTTATTTATTTATTTTCTATTAATAATATTCTTTTTATAAACATATTAAATGAGAATTTTATTTTTATTTTAAAACAGTAGCCTTTACTTTTTTATTTTGTGCTATTTTAGGTTTTGTGATGGTGAGAATTAATTTCTATTTAAATTTAAAGTTATTTATTTTTTCGTTTATAATTGTTATTTTATGTTATGTAATGAGATTTTGCGAAAAGATGCATTATTTTCTTATTTTGTGCTGTTTCTGGTATTACGGTAGTAAGAATTATTTTTTCTTTTTGTAAAATGGCCTTCATTTATATACTTATTTTCTATCAAGCTAATAAAAATGACTTAATTTTTATTTTTAAAGTTTAGACTTTTTATGCAATTTTTGGTATTATAGTGCTGAGAATTAAACTTTTTACTTATTAAAAAATTAAATTTTACTTATTTATAAAAATAAATGTACAAATATTTACAATATAAAAAAAGTGAAATGTGACATTAGAAATGAGCTTGAAAAAGGTGACCATGTGACTGTGTGTGTTTCCCTCAGAGATGTGTGTGAGGGTATGGAGCACCTGGAGTGTAAGAAGCTCCTGCACCGAGACCTCGCCGGACGAAACATCCTGGTGTCGGAGGACACCATTGCCAAAATCAGTGATTTCGGTCTGGCCAAGGTCAGTTCAACGACAACCGACAACTCCAAACTCCCCGTGAAGTGGACGGCACCCGAAGCCCTGAGGAGCCAGGTGAGCGCTGGAGGAACATCACTCTTAAAGGGCCAGTTCACCCAAAAATTAAGATGATGTCATTAATGACTCGTCCCAAGCCCGTCAATTCATCTTCAGAACACAGTTTAAGATATTTTAGATTTAGTCCGAGAGCTTTGTAAATGTGTGTAAGGTATACTGTCCTTGTCCAGAAAGGTAATAAAGACATCATCAAAGTAGTCATGTGACATCAGTGGGTTAGTTACAATGTTTTGAGGCATCGGAAATACATTTTGGTCCAAAAATAACAAAAACAAAGACTTTATTCCGGTTCTGTTGTGGATCCGCGTTCACGAGTCCGCAGTGACGCTAGGGTTAATATCCAATATAGGATATCTATATAAATCGTTCCAGCCTCTTTTTTTACTTTCTGAATTATATATAAATATATATATATATATATATATATATATATATATATATAGTCTTGAGTTTCTTCTGGGAACACGTCACAATATTCCTCATTATAATAACTCATACGCAGAATAAAGGGGCGGGGCCTGGTTCAGTTAGTTACTAGTGTGTTAAACTGGCGGTTATGGAAAGGGGCGGGACATTTCCCAAACACACTCGACCAATCACAACACACTGATCCAGCCGACCAATCAGAGCACAGTGTCCTTCTCAGAAGGAGGGGCTTCATAGAGACAGGAAGTAAACGGAGCGTTACTGACAGACTGGGAAGAGAGGAGCCGCAACAATGGAGAATATGAGGAGAATAATCAACATTCAAGCCTGAAAACAACATTAAGACATTTATCAACAGCTTTATAAGTGAACTGCTCTGTTCCTGTAGAAGTTCTCCACTCAGTCGGACGTGTGGAGTTACGGAGTGCTTCTGTGGGAGATCTTCTCTTTCGGCCGACAGCCGTATCCCAAGATGGTGCGTTTCTTTCCCTCTCACTATAAAGATATTTGCCAACACTTTATTTTGATGGTCCCTTTTGAACATTCTGTACGCTATAAGTAACTCTCATATAGTATTAGTAGAGCATCTGCGTGATGCTCCTCCAACAACAGACATTACACTGAGTATAAATAACTTTGTCAACTTATTCTGACACAAACTCACTCTAATACTCTATTAAAGGGATACTCCATTTTTTTTTGGAAATAGGCTCATTTTACCACTCCCCCAAAGTTAAACAGTCGAGTTTTACCGTTTTCAAATCCATTCAGACGATTTTCTGATATTTAGAAGAATATCGTTAACCGGACAGTTTCTGGTCTCATTGACTTCCATATAGGAAAAAAATATACTACGGAAGTCAATGAGACCAGAAACTGTCTGGTCACTGATATTCTTCTAAATATAAAAATAAATCGGCTCAATACATTAGAAAATGGTAAAACCTAACTGTTTAACTCTGGGGGAGTGGTAAAATGAGCCTATTTCCAAAAAAAAGTGGAGTATCCCTTTAAAGGTAAAATATGTAAACATTTTGCAGTAAAATATCCAAAAACCACTAGGCCAGTGTTATATATTTAGTTCAGTTTATTAATTACAATATCCCCAATGTTTCCACCCATTTGTAAATCGTGAGAAAATTGCGATTTTAGCCAATAAAACAGGGCGTGTTAGCAGCGCTGAGGAATCGCCAGTCAATGACGTCATATCCGCTCGCACTGCTATAGTAACCATGGCGACAGACATGGACAACTGGGTTACGCCTAGCAGGACGCTCACGCTGTTGTTTTGTTCATACATTATGGATCATGGCGAGCAGACTTTGAGACGAAAAGAGGAATAGAACGAACATCTTTGGAGACGGCGAGAGCTAGCGTCCGCGACTAACTTCGCGAGTGTTGCATGTTACTTTATCAGTCCCTCTAGGATTTCACGATTTTTTTTTTGTGATTTTTGCGATCAAAATGACTGATTTTGTGGTGGTAATTTCCAAAAATTTGTGAAAAAATTTGCGATTTTTATACAACATTTACCATAATAGTATATAATAGCATAGAGTTTTTTTGTGATTGTTGCGGGCAAAAATTGATTGATTACGCTGCCCGTTTTCTTTAAAAATGTGATGGAATACGCGGGATATTTATGCAATTTTATGCGATGAAATTTCAGGAATTCGCAAAAATTGAGGGAACTTGCAAAAATTGCGGTTTGATGAAAAAGATAAAAAAAAAGTAATTCCCCCAACATCCTGTTCTCACTAGGCTAATGTAAGAGTCATTTCTTATTACTTCCTTTGATAAACAAGCATACTACGTCATAGAAAGTGCTGGGAATATTTAATTTCTCATCTTGTTTGATTTCAGACTGTAACGAGTGTAAATAAGGTGTGGCCCCTTTAAGAGCTCCTCGAACGCCCCATGTGTGTGGGTAATTTCTGTTTGATGCTACTTCTTTTATCTTATGTTGTTTATTAAGTAACGACATGACGGTAGAACGTGTGACAGACAGTTATACGAGTTCGATTTGTGAGATGTCAATCGCCTCCGTGAGTCTGGCGTCGCGTAATTGCGTCACTTCATAACGTTCCCATGGAAACAGGGGGAAATGGCTGCTCTTGTGTGAAGCAAACGCAAAATTTTTCAACTTTCTGCTAAGATACATGTGACTTTTTTTTGCAACGAAAATGCGAGGATAATGAAATTATGCAAACCCCGCATATTTTGCACGGAAATCTGCAATTTATGCGGCGAAAGTGCGGCGTATTTAAAAAAAAACGGCCCCCGCATAAATATGCGGACTTTGGCTGATTTTGCATTGAATTCAGCGATCGCATAATCGCGTTTTTCTGGAGGGACTGCTTTATTAGACAGGTTAGCAAAGTGCACATTTAACTAATCAATGTTATTTAGTTCAACATAATGAAATGTTAAAATATGATCTGTAGGTTATGCTAATGTTGATCTAGCTCACTATATGCTAGTGTCATATAGCTAACACACAAACTAACTAACAACATGAATACACACTCAGTGTGATAGTGTAACTGTTAGAGAAAGTGTGTTACCTCAAGTTTAATTCCTCTAATAAACTGACCTGTGTGAGTATTATTCAGCACTTGTGTGTAGTTCGGAAGAATTAAATGTCCTTATTCCTTTATATCCGCGGGACTCGCGTGTGTCGCTGGTATACGTCTAGCAATCACGCCCTACTTCACCACAGTCATGTTAAAAACATCAATGTTTTCACTCATCCATAACAGATCCATCAGCTTGATGCGGAATATACGTCATTAATATACGCCTTTGTTATTGTAAGAGGTTAGCGACCCCTGGTGGCGAAAAATCCTACATATTGCACCTTTAATACTCTACTGAGTTAGCAGACAGGTGCAGCGTATTATTTATAGTCAACAGAATGTGTGAAAGACCATCAAAATAAAGTGAAACCTGATATTTGTTAACGTTTCTCTGGTGTGTGTGTGTGTGTGTCAGTCGGTGTGTGAGGTGAGGGAGCGTGTGGATCAGGGATACCGCATGGATCCGCCGGACGAGTGTCCGCCTCAGGTGTACTCCATCATGAGCTGGTGCTGGGAGAGCGACCCGAAGAAGAGGCCGGCCTTCCACAAGCTCAGAGACACGCTGGAGAAAGAGCTCGCCAGCTTCACGTCTGCTTAGACACACTCAACCTGTTACTCAGCACACTTTATATTTATGTTTCTTTGTTTCATCGATTCAAAATCATAAGACGAATTATACTTTAAAGGAACACTCCGACTTTTTGGGGACTTTGGCTTGTTCACCGTATCCCTAAGAGTTAGATAAGTCCATACACACCTTTTTCATCTCCGTGCGTGCTGTAACTCTATCTGACGCTAGCTTAGCTTAGCACAAAGACTGGATGTAAATGGCTACAGCTAGCATACTAATCCCAAATAAGTGACAAAATAACGCAAACATTTTCCTATTTACAATTTTGAGATTTGTATAGTCACTGAGTGTACAAATAACAAAGTCATATGAGACACAGCCATATTTTAACCGTATAAATATTGGGAACTATATTCTCAGAAGGCGTGATTAGCGCAGCTGATGTTTCATATTCCAACCAAAAACGCTGATCTGATGAGTCAATGGCTAAGTTTCTTGCTCTGGATATAACGTCAGATCCAAACACACTAACACACTAACTCTCTGGTTTTAATCTGATTATCTAATATTATTTATTTAGTTTATATATATATATATATATATATATATTGATAGACTGTAATACACATTTTATTTTATTATTTTTTCATTTATTTTATTTTAAATGGTAAGCAGTACAGGAAGTAATACCACAATGTTATGCATAAATAGTATATTTTACATATAAATTGAGTTATTCTCAAAAGTGGTTCCTATTACTGTAGCATTATTGATTTAGGTTTTTATATTTTTATTTTATTAATTATTTTTATTATAAATTATTTGAATTATTAATAGACTGTTAAACATGTTGTCGTTATTATTATTTTATTTAAATCAGTAAAACAGTACAGCAAATAATATAATTTTGTAAATAATTTAGCATTATTTGACGTATAAATTTAGTTTGATTATTGGATTTGCTCTGTTTATTTTGTGTGTGTGGAAATGTGCTTAATTGTCATGAAAATAATATCACAATAGTCTTAAAAAATATATTCTGGTGTTGTTCAGTTCATTTTAGGGAGAAAAATGACTGACGGGTTTCACCCAAATGCCTTCACTCTAAACAATGCTGGGTTGTTTTAACCCCAAATTGGGTCAAATATGGACAAACCCAAATGTTTGGTAAAAAAATGTAATTTATAATTTTAACCCAACTTCAACTGTACATTTTTTAATTACATTTTTAACCCAGCATTTGGGTTTGTCCATATTTGACCCAAATTTGGGTTAAAATAACCCAGCTTTTTGTGAGTGTAAATAAAAGATGTCAGTCCTCAATGAGGTCCTGTAGAATAAGAGACTTTCTGCTCATATGCAATTCTGGAATGTATGTATTTATTGTAACGGCAGTAATAAACACACGGAAATGGGTTTTCCTAAGGAAGTCTTGTGTTCTAATCTTGATTTCTTGTTGAGGAATAAAGTGGTCACAATCCAGGATTAGTGTCCGGATCTCCAGTAATTCTCCAGCAATATGTCCAGGGATTCAGATTAATGCAGGAAATCTTGCATCATGGCGGCAAATTTCCACAAATCCAGTTTATTTTGAGAGAAATGGCTCGTCATGCCAGTAATGACTCAAAGGCTCATGGGAAATGATTTTGAATGTATTTCGGCATCCCATGTCATTGGATTTGTGTTGATCTGTCACCCGTGAGACCGTCGGCAGATTGAAGTTCCTGTCTTTATTCCCTTTTAAAATCTTCGAACTGGAATGTCCATCCAAGCATAAATAATAATAATTTTAAAAAAAACGTACTAATAATTTACTATAATGTAGTACCTTAAAAAGTGAACAAAAATGTATTTTAGGCGTTTGCAACTTGATCTTCCATTTCATTTATTTTCTTCAGTAAACGTTTACATTTATTTCCCAGATGCTTGACCTGAATTATTTATTTTAGATCATGACTACACACAAAAAAAGGGATTTTTTGCATTTTATGATGGTCAAAAGGCACAGAAAACCAGGAATGACCCTATGTGTGTGTGTGTAAATGTATATGAAAACACAACCTTAAAACACACCAGTTGAATATCAGACGTAATAGTTAAGCGTACATTTAAAATTAATAATGATTATTATTTATGTTTGTCTCTCTGTCTCACATAAGTATTTTTAAAATGATTGGAGTTTGATGGGCATCACTATGAATATTGTTGTATGGAAAAGAGCTAAAATTTAGATTCATCAAAAATTTCGAGTTCGGAAAGACATGAGGGTGAGTAAATGTTCTCATTTTTTCAGCTGAATTGCCCTTTATGTGTGTGTACGGTACGTGCGGCTGCTTTAATCTCTCTCTCACAGTCATGGAAAGATTTGCCCAGTGATGTCAGAGTGGGAGGAGCCTCAGAGCCTTATAGACTAAAGGGGGCGGAGAAGATGTTTGACTGACAGGCGACGCGTCGAATCAGCCGATTAATGGTGTAAGTACGTCAGCGCACCCCAAGGAACATCCGCTTTATCGATGCTAAGAGTATCAGATTAAGTGTTAAGGAGGAAAGTTTAACCTTGCTCTTCCGGGCTGTGAAGAGGCTCTTGATAGCAGGAGCGTCTTCTGATCCTACAGGGGGGAATCGGGGACAAAAACGCTAATTAAGGACATGACACCGCAAAAAACATTCATAATCAACAGTATAAAACACCATTGTTCCATTTTCTCACATTTATTTCACGTAACATGTCAATAAGGTATTTTATTTATTTTTAGCCGGTTGCTATGCCGTCACTAAGGTGTTTTTATTTTGTTACTATGCAGATTTGAGGAATCATTCCTGTTTGGTGCACAAATATCTGGACGAGTTACAGCTAAAGTTAGTTGATCAGATCACTAATATTATCTCCGTGAGCTCTATGTTTGATTTTCGATTGAACGGTTGGAGTGTAGATCCAGAAATACGTTGAATGTGTTGTTCTTGGTGAAATCACGTGATTTGCCAAGAGCCACTGATTACAAAACCACATAATTAGTTCAGCAATTGACGTGTGGCGCATCTCACTATGCAATTGAATGCGTTGGTTTTAATCGGTTAAAGAGTTAAGTTAATTTGATTAAACTAGCATGCATTTTAAGACCCGTCTGTGTTAAAGGAAACTAGGTGCTGAGATTTGTGAGAGTTTGCCGATGAATCCCAGCAGTCTCCATATGGTGGTTTGGTTAATCGCTGTACAGGTGAACGTGGTCGACAGAGGGGTCTTATGCGCTAATCTACAGATTACTGAAAGAAGTCAGGAGAACGGGGACTCGAAGGAGGGATAAACGCGTGTCAGTCATTCTGAACAGGTTCATTTCGGGTCTCGGCTTCTGACATGCCACGCGTCATTTTTAGTTCATTTAATCTTGTTTTACCAAGCGACAACCTTCCCGTCTCTCTCTTGAATTCTCAAACTGCAATTCATCGACTGGCCACTAGAGACAGGCTGCTCAATCAAGTGTTAATATGCCCAACGGAAAAAATATGTTTATAGCCTGGTACAAAAAGTGGTTTTGGTCTATATAGCTAATTCTGCCCTTCATGACGACTGTGAGGGAGGTGAATGTTTTTATAACTCATCCTTTTAAATTATATTAGGCCTTAAATTTCTGCATAATTAAGCGCGTGGCTACTTAATTGACAGGTGGATTGTCGCTGATGTCACTACTAGCCGCTTGTCTGCTGTGTGTTAGCGTCACGTCACCTCAGCTAATACGCCTTTTAGCCCATTTTTGGTTATCCGGGATTAACGCGCAGCCAAGATGGCGACGGCCGGCTCCGCCCACTTTTGGCTTCAAAAATGCTCTTCAGAAACACTACGGGTGACGTCACGGACGTGTTTTACACTTCATGAAATGTCTTGCACTTAAAAGGATGTTAAAAGCCATTTTATTCTTCATTGAATGGGTTGCGTAATGGGGAACAGACATCGCATAGCTAGCCTTAAACCATGCGCTTGATTCTGGTGACTCATGTGTCTCTTCACTATTCATGCTAATAAATGAAATAGTGCGTTTCCACAGTGGCTTCAACAACCAAAACACTCCAGGCCTCTAGGTGTCAGTGTAAGTCAATGGTAACCGATTTATCGCTAACAACACGTTATATTATCCTTTAGCAGTTAGCATTTAGCATTTGCTTTTGCCTTCAAGTGTCAATGTATGTCCAAGGAGACTGATATATTGTTAACTGTGATTAGTATTTTCCATTAGCACATCGCTAACTGTACATTTTAAATTTGCTTTTGTTCCATGAAACGTGTGCGACAGCCAGCTTTCTGCCTCGTCTTTCTCCCCTAACGAAGAGCAGACATCTTGAAATCGCATGACTAGCTGAAAATCACTCGTTTCATCACTCCCGTGCCATTTGAAATACGCTAATCATGCTATTGATTCCTAATATTGCATTTTCGCAGTGGCTTCAGTAACAAAAAAACTCCATGCCGCAAGGTAAATCGAGTAACAAGGCAACTTTTATATGATTAACCGTGATTAGCACTTTCCGTTAGCATATCGCTACCTGTCCATTAGCATTTCCATGTGCGACTGTCTGACAAATCTCTCGTCTTTCTTGCCTAACGAACAGACATCTTGAGATTGCATGACGAAAACCATAACCGAAAAACTCCAGGCCGCAAGGTGGCGGTGTAAATCCAAGGCGAATGTTATATCGTTTACTATCCATTAGTGTTTTACATTAGCATATTGTTAACTGGCCATTAGCATTAGCTGGGTGTTAGTGTAAGTTAATGGTAACCGATTTATTGCTAACAACACGTTATATTATCCTTTAGCAGTTAGCATTTGCTTTTGCCTTCAAGTGTCAATGTATGTCCAAGGAGACTGATAAATTGTTAACTGTGATTAGTATTTTCCATTAGCACATCGCTAACTGTACATTTTAAATTTGCTTTTGTTCCATGAAACGTGTGCGACAGCCAACTTTCTGCCTCGTCTTTCTCCCCTAACGAAGATCAGACATCTTGAAATCGCATGACTAGCTGAAAATCACTCGTTTCATCACTAACATGCCATTTGAAATACGCTAATCATGCTATTGATTCCTAATATTGCATTTTCGCAGTGGCTTCAGTAACAAAAAAACTCCATGCCGCAAGGTAAATCAAGTAACAAGGCAACTTTTATATGATTAACCGTGATTAGCACTTTCCGTTAGCATATCGCTACCTGTCCATTAGCATTTCCATGTGCGACTGTCT